TTTTTGGAAACGGTTTCTTGCATATTGTAGGGACGCATGTATATCAAAACCATGTTTCGTTTTCGCTGAACGGTTTTAGTAGTATCAAAAAAGTGGTGAATGATACCCTTGATGGTTCGATCCCCCGCGGCGACTAAATTTTGCAATCAAGGTTGGCGGCCACTTGTTGGCTTCAAAATGGTCCTGACGATGAATTGACATCTGATTTTGATATTTAGCGCGATTTGGCACCAAACCGTAGGCGCCAACCCAAATGCAAAATTTAGTCGCCACGGGGGATCGAACCATTAACAGTACCTTATGCTTCTTTTTTGGTACTGCTAAACCGTTCAGCGAAAATGAAACATGGTTTTGTGTTCCCTACATGCGTCCCTACAATATGCAAGAAACCGTTTTGAAAAAGCGTGGCTTGCCCTGAAAGACCCCCCCCCTTTGTTAGGGGGAATCGATGTCACCCCTCCGCTTTAGAATACCATACACTAGTAACATCCACTGTACGAGTGAGAAATGGGAAGAAAAAGAGGGGTGCATAATTTTGGAAAATTACAGGCGTGGCAGTTAACCCTGGGGCGTACGCCGTTACATTACAAAAAGCGAACTCGGGACGACCATAACACGCAACTGAAGCCATATATAACTCACCTATTTAGAAATTTATTTATTATTATTTATTTATTTATCAATACGTTGTATAAGACAACGTTAGAAACCAAACACCAGTAAAAACTAGAACATCATTAAGACACTGAGGTAACACTGATCAGTCAAGATCACAATTAAATCAGAGAAATAAAAAAGTATTGCCAACTATGCCTTTTCTATGAGTTTTGCTATTGAGCGTCTGAAAGACGCCCGAGAACCTGAGACACCCAGTTGGATTTTACTTGAAACCAAAAAGGGAATAAAAATCATAAATAACGACTGTTTGCGGAGTTTCTTAACAGCAGACGCTTTACCTTGACGGCTACATAGTTTGCTCAAGTGTAAAACATACTCAGCTCACTTTTCAGACCTTCTTCGCGGACACCACTGTCGGGACAGTGCTCGGTCACCGGCCACCAGCAGTATTTGTTCGTCCAAACGATCCTGTCGGTAAAGTGCTTGACGTGCTGCTCGAAGCACACCACATGCGTTGCGTGTTCATCGTCGACGATCACATAACGCCAATCGCATGCGTTTCACAATCGGATGTCATCTCACATTTGATCTACGACGAAGTGCCATTCCAGAAGCAGAAGTCACACCGTCGTAAAACTTCATAATATCACAATCAGTGGTTGAGGTCAGGTGCTCACATATCAGACGTGGCTGCTTCGTTCTCCTCTCTCTCTCGCTTTGCTGTTCATGATTCCACCATTGGCGATGCAGCGTCTCGGTTTTGATACAGTGACATAAACTAGGGGCTTATGTACAGAGTTCGTTAGGCTCATATGTGCTGGGAAATAGCTTGCGCAGCCTGCTTCAACATTACAACTTTCTAAGAAGGATACCAGAAGTTCAAGGGTTACCCAGTAAGGGGGAGTGGCCGACAGACAGAAGATAACCGGCACCGTGTGGAAGTTACTTTGCTTCCCTTTATACCACCTTGCCAGCTTCCTTCTCCTATCGAAAAAACTGGATCATTTCAAGGTGCATATGAACCGTCGACCACCAGACGCCCTCCACCCTATGTAAGATGTCAATTTTTCTCAAAAACCGTTTGTTGGAGGAGCATCCGAGTGCACGATGCATAAACAGACATTAATAGTTCGGCGTTTTATTGACGCATGGCGCAGTTCAGCGCCAAACTTGTCCCCATACCGTTCCCAACGAATTCAAGTAAAAGTTTGTAACCCATGGGTTACTCGTCGTCCACATCCGAATAAGCATTTGCTCTCATTGTCAGTATAGCACCTTCTGGCAGCTGTCTTATGCGATTTTGAGTCTAAGCAGCGCCAAACTGAAAATTTTCAGCGCCAAAAATGAATCTATATTCGTAAAGCAGAGCACTAGAAAAAACTCCGTTAGACGTGCGTAAATTTCCTCTCAAAACAGTCGTTCTCCACCTTCCTGGTGTTATGTCCTAAGGCATATGGGTCATGTATAGTGGCTGAAGTGCTGGTTATTTATCTTACTGATTTATTTTGAGAATGAAAATGCCTTTGTTACTATTTTCAACAGAAGAAATGACATAGTGATATGATTGACCAATGACGCAAATAGAAACCGTTGATTGAAATTTGTTGACAAAGGGGATTTGCTATGATTATTGTCACATTATAAACAATCAAATTCTCGCTTGTGAGTCTTATTTGATACAAGGCTTTTTGCATGGGAGATGTACAACATCGGTACGTAGTAGTGCAAGAGAGTGAGTGAAACGGTTTTTCAGCTCGTTGAATTGGTTCTACCGTAACCCACGACGGCGCAATGTCACATTCAATCGACTTGTTTTCGATGGCCCTATTGTCGCTTGCTCTGCGCACTCTGCGATTTGAAAATGGGCACCACTGTACGGAGAACCTCCGCTATAATAGATGAAGTAAGTTAAAGTGTCGTTTCAGATACAAGGCGCAGCGGCCGCAGCTGGAGTGCCTCTCCTCTGGGAGCGGCGAAGCTCGACAGGTCGCAGTGCTCGCAAGCGGCGAGCGAATGCCGCATGAGTTTTGGAAGGCTCCCTAAGTTGATAACACCTGGTCGGGCCCCATTTAAAGGACCTTTGTACCCGTGCTCCGATTCAATTGCGCCCCAGTGCTCAATAGCGCGCTCCAGTGCCAACATGGATTACGGTGGAGCCGTGAAGCTACTGTAACATGTGCAGGAGACCTGTCGAGCGACGAAAGGCAAAGACGCAAATGTGAGCTGGTTAGTTGCCGTGCCCACTGTTCAGTGTCGAACCAATCAGATTGTTGTAAATCACGTCATACTTATCTATTTATTTATTTACCAGTAGGATCGCCCAGCTGACACCGGGCTCTCCAGCTTCTCCTGCTACCGCGGAGCAACTGTCTTTCTAGGGGGCACGCAAAAGTACACTTCTGGAGTAACGACCTCAAATCACAAAATACACGACATAACCCTCCATTTTTTGGATGATGATCTCCAAAAAAATTCAAAAGTCGATGTGAAAACCAGTGAAAGTTTAACGTTAGCACTATGAGACCGTGGGAGCAAGGAAAAGCGGAGTACTGCTGGGAGATTGCTATCGAATGCGTCAGCTACATGGAACTTGTTCAGGCAGGAGGGCGTAGATGGAAGCTGAAAATGCGCTATTTGCGGAGCGGACAATTTGCAGCGAGTTTTGTAGCGCGCGAACGCGCTGCGTGTACTTCTGAGACATGCCTGCAATGTGTGATAAGATCATCTTGTGGCTGAGTAGGCGGATTTCTAGAGTTGATTTTGCACAATCGGATCTGCTTTGCACTGCTCATTCACTTTGCCATAACATTCAGTACATAGGAGTCGGCTTAGAGTGCCTTCTTTGTTTGCCGGTAACCACTTCAAAGGCAAATTCACGATGAA